CCCGAGTAGCTGGGACTACAGGCGCCCGCCACCTCGCCCGGCTATTTTTTTGTATTTTTTAGTAGAGACGGGGTTTCACCGTGTTAGCCAGGATGGTCTCGATCTCCTGACCTCGTGATCCACCCGTCTGGGCGTCCCAAAGTGCTGGGATTACAGGCTTGAGCCACCGTGCCCGGCCTAAAATGTATTTTTAATAGAGACGAGGTTTCACTATGTTGGCCAGGCTGTGCTCGAACCCCTGACCTCAGGTGATCCACCCGCCTCCACCTCCCAAGATGCTGAGATTGTAGGTGTGAGCCACCATGCCCGCCCTGGGGCTGTTACTGTTAATGGAGGATGCAGGAAGTGCCCTATCAGATGGCAGTGGACTCCTCTCACAGCCCGGGTTGCCATCCTGGGGTCCAAGATAAAATGCCAAAACCCTGCAGGTTGGCTGCATACCTCCCACTTCTCCCCATTCTAGAAATCAGGTGACTGAAGCTTCGGAGGTGGAAATAGCTGGGATTGGAAGCCCTGGGTCTTGGGCCCCGCCCCAAGCCCCAGCAGCTGCTGACACCCTTTGCAGATGTTCAGGATGACCATGGAGGGGAGGTTGCATTTCCTCATCTTGGTCTGCCCACCTGAGCCTGCACACACGGTAAGTTTGTAGTGTGGAAAGGCACCAGCCCATGGGTTAAGGGGCCTAGAAGGGAGAGTTGTGACCCAGTCTGGGCCAGCAACCAGCTGTGTTACCTGGGGGAATCCCTCTGCCTCTCTGTGCCTTGGTTTCACCATCTCTGTCCAGTGGGTACAGTGGACCACATGATGACATCTCCCTGATAGCTTGGAAAGCAGTGACTGTGCTTTGGTAGGCACCGATTCTGTGCCAGGCCCTACACCAATGGCTGAAGCTGGTGAAGTGAGCACTGCAAGTACCCCCGGTTCACAGGGAGGACACACCGTGGCAAAATGGCCAGCCAAGAGTGGAACTTGGGTCTGGGTGGCCCAGAGTCCACGGGCCTGATCACAGCTCTTTCCAATCTGCGGCTGCCAGTCCCTCTCCTGGGTAGAGAGGCTGAGAAGCAACTGCCCTGCACACAGGCCTGACTCCCCTCACCTTCCCAGCCCGACGGCCAGGCCCCCTGACAGCTGTTGGCAGGTCCCCCGCGGCCCCCAGCCCACTGGGCTCTGTTCCCAGAGCCTGCGGCCTGCTCCTTAGACCTTCCAGGTCCCACGGGCTTGCGGTCTGCCCCCTGCCCCTGCTGCTGAGGCCAAGGAGGCGGCCCACAGGGGCTGGGGCTAGGAGAGGCCCCAGCCCCCGCCCCCTGCGGAGAGGGTGGGGAGGGTGGAGCTGTGGGAGTTTCACTGGTTTAAAAATACACAGAGGAAGCGAGTGAGAGAAAGGGGAAGGGGAGGTGGGAGAGGCACCTCAACTTTGATGTCCAGAGCCTTGCGCGGCCACTCGCAAGCTGGCCAAGGGCTTCACACAACTTGCCAAGATGACAGAGGGGACCAAGAAGACCAGCAAAAAGTTCAGTGAGTGCGGGGTGCCGTCTTCACTGTCCTCCATCCCTGGCTGTCCTCTGGGCCTCTCTCTGCATCTGTTTCTTCATCACTGTCTTCATTTCCGTTTCTCTCTCTCTCTCACTGTTTTACTTTTTTTGTTTTTTACCTTTGGACGCCAGTGTCTCTGTCACCCAGGCTGGGGTGCAGTGGCACAATCTCGGCTCACTGCAGTCTTGACCTCCCAGGCTCAAGTGATCCTCCCACCTCAGCCTCTTAAGTAGCTAGGCAAGTAGTTAGGACTCCAGGCACAATTTAACTTTTTTTTTTGGCTGGGTGCGGTGGTGGCTCACGCCTGTAATCCCAGCACTTTGGGAGGCCGAGGCCAGGGGATCACCTGAGGTCAGGAGTTCGAGACCAGCCTGGCCAATGTGGTGAAACCCATCTCTACTAAAAATACAAAAAATTAGCCGGGTGTGGTGGCAAGCACCTGTAATCCCAGCTACTCAAGAGGTTGAGGCAGAAGAAACGCTTGAACCTGGGAGGTGGAGATTACAGTGAGATTGCACCACTGCACTCCAACCTGGGCGACACAGCAAGACTGCATCTCAAAAAATAAGTAAATATAAAAAAATAAGTAAACAATAAAATTGATTTTTTTGTTTTTTTTTTGTAGAGTCCGGGGTGGGGTCTCACTTTGTTGCCCAGGCTGGTCTCGATCTCCTGGGCTCAAGCGATCCTCCTGTTTCCAGCCTTGTTTCTCTTTCTCTTTGTCCATCACTGTCTCTCTGCAGACGTCTCTGCTTCTGGGCGTCCCCGTGGCTTTCTAGCTGTCATTCTGGCCCAGCATCTCTCTCTCTCTCTCTCTCTGACTCATTGACTTCGTTCTCCATCTCTGTGCTTCTCTTGTCTCTGTCTCTTTGTCTCCCCACCGTGTCTCTCGATCTCTGCAGTCCACTGTGTCTCTGGCTGTCTCTGACCTCGCAGCTGGGCAGGGGAGGCCTTCGCACACTCCATCGCCTGCCCACAGGCCTGGGCTCACATGGGATCCCAGGTGGGGAGTTACTGGGGCGACAGGGGGATGGGGGTGTCATGGGATCCCAGGTGGGAAGTTACTGGGGCGCAGGGGGATGGAGGTGTCATGGAATCCCAGGTGGGGAGTTACTGGGGCGGCAGGGGCATGGGGGTGTCATGGGATCCCAGGTGGGGAGTTACTGAGGCGGCAGGGGGATGGGGGTGTCATGGGATCCCAGGTAGGGGGATGGGGGTGTCATGGGATCCCAGGTGGGGAGTTACTGGGACGGCAGGGGGATGGGGGTGTCCTGGGATGCTGTCCCACATTCCCAACAGCAGTGAGGCTGGGAGCTGACATTTGGGTAGGGAAAGAGCCCAGAGCTACTAGAACCAGGCTCCAGGGTGAGGGGCCACACTGGCCCACTGCTCTGTTTTCCTGTGTCTGTCCTTCCCAGTCCCAGCAAACTTTTTCTGTCTCCTGATTCCTTTGATCTGACCCCACCAGGGTGGGGGACAGGTGGTGTAAAGGGCAGCGATTATGACTGCATTTCCCAGAGGGCAATGCTGAGGCCCGGAGACTTGCCTGAGATCACACTGGCTATTGAGCAGGGCCCAATCCCAGACCCTGGAGTCTGGGCCTCAGTTTCCCTCCCGGCCCCCACTATCTCCTCCAAACACCTGGTGCCCAGGAGGCAAAACCAGTGATGCTGAGAAAGAAGGTGGTTGGGGGTCCTCCCTCTGGCCACTGATGCAATTTCCACCCCCACCGCATGCAGCGGAAGGGCAGAGCGGCCACATTTGCGACCACGTTTCTCGGGAGACCAAGGCAATAACCAAATGGGGCCAGCAGGGCTGGGACACAAACCCCTGAGCACTGACCCAGCTGTGCCGAGCCCTTGGTCTGTGTCCAGGCTCAGCTGCGGCCTTGCTGTGTGACCCTGGGGGAGTCCCTCCCCATCTCTGGACCTCAGTTTCCTCCCTTGTCAACTGGGGACATCCTACCTGCATCCCAGCACGGGTGCGAGCAGCTGAGGAGGTGGAGGATGCTGAGGACGTGGAAAATGCTAGAGTTTTTCCTTTTTGCTCATCTGGGGGCTATGGGGAAGTCAGTTGGTGGTGGCTGTGAGAAGGGACAGTCCCACAGCTGAGGGCAGGGGTAGGGAACTCACATGCACCCCTGTGGAAACCAGGAGATGGTATCACCCCAGCCGTTCCTCTTGAGTCTGGAGCTGGGCTCAGCTGACAGGAAGGAGAGAACCACAGACAGTGCGACCCTTAGGCTCGCAACAACCCCCTCCTCATTCTACCCCCACCCCAGGTGCACAGAGGCTGGCTGGAACACGCCCCAACCCCCGATACGAGCACAAAACACGCATACCTGCTCCACCTACCAGCAGCGTGACCTCAGTTCATTACACTGCTCTCAATCTCAATTTTCACATCTGGAAAATGGGAATTAAACTGTGTCACCGAGTTATGCTGAGAATTCTTGCAGCACATGTTTGGCAGATGCAGAATCATTTTCAGAAATTTTAAAATTATTATTGTCAGTGGCCGGGCGCCGTGGCTCACCCCTGTAATCCCAACACTTTTGGAGGCTGAGGTGGGTGGAGCCCTTGAGGTCAGGAGTTTGAGACCAGCCTGGCCAACATGGTGAAACCCTGTCTCTACTAAAAGTACAAAAATCAGCCGGGCGTGGTGGCACTTGCCTGTAATCCCAGCTACTCGGGAGGCTGAGGCAGGAGCATCGCTTTAACCCAGGAAGCGGAGGTTGCAGTGAGCCAAGATTGCACCAGTGCACTCCAGCCTGGGTGACAGAGCGAGACCCTGTCTCAAAAGAAAAAATAATAAATAAATAATTATTACTATTAGAGACAGGTTCTTGCTCTGTTGCCCAGACTGGAGTGCAGTGGTGCCATCATAGTGCACGGCAACCTTGAACTCCTGGGCTCAAGCCATCCTCCTGCCTCAGCCTCCCAACTAGCTGGGATTACAGGCACACACCAGCATATCCAGCTAACTTTATTTATTTATTTATTTAGAGATGGAGTCTCACTCTTATCGCCCAGGCTGGAGTGCAGTGATGCAATCTTGGCTCACTGCAGCCTCCACCTCCAGGGTTCAAGTGATTCTCCTGCCTCAGCCTCCCAAGTAGCTGGGATTACAGACATGCACCACCATGCCTGGCTAACTTTTGTATTTTTAGTAGAGACAGGTTTTCACCATGTTGTCCAGGCTGGTCTCAAACTCCTGACCTCAGGTGATCCACCTGCCTCAGCCTCCCAAAGTGCTGGGATCACAGGTGTGAACCACAGCACCTGGCCTTACTTTTTTATTTTTTGTAGAGACAGGGTCTTGCTATGTTGTCCAGGCTGGTCTCAAACTCCTGACCTCAGGTGATCCACCCGCATCAGCCTCCCAAAGTGCTGGGATTACAGGCGTGAGCCACCATGCCTGGCCTAAGCTTTTCTTTAATTCTCACATTGCCCTAGGAGGTAGGTGTTGGAATCTCTATTTTACTGATGTGGAGAATGAGGTTCAGCTCAGAGAGGTCAAGTGACTTGCCTAAGGTCACACAGCTAGGATGTGAAAGAGCAGGAATTCAAGTCCAGGACTATGTGATCCCAAAGCTCCCATCTTATACCACTTCCAGGGGTGTGTTAACAATTAGAAGGGGTATCCAGGAAGCCCCCAGCCCTCTTTAGCCCCTCACGGAGTGAAACTGCAGGAATTGTTCATTATTATTACTGATGTTGACATTGTCATTACCTTCTTTTCCTTCCCTTCCCCTCTGCTAGAGTTCTTCAAGTTCAAGGGCTTTGGGAGTCTCTCCAACCTCCCTCGGTCCTTCACTCTGAGACGATCCTTAGCTCCCATCAGTAGGCAGTCCCATTTGGAGCCTGACATCTTTGAAGCCACGCAGGATGACATGGTGACGGTGCCCAAGAGTCCCCCAGCCTATGCCCGCTCCAGTGACATGTACAGCCACATGGGCACCATGCCTCGCCCCAGCATCAAGAAAGCACAGAACTCACAGGCTGTCCAACAGGCCCAGGAGGTGGGTCCCAAGCCCAACCTGGTACCCCGAGGTGTACCCGACCCCCCAGGCTTGGAGGCAGCCAAGGAGGTGATGGTGAAGGCCAATGGCCCTCTAGAGGACATCCCAGCAATGGAACCCAACCCTTCAGCAGTGGAGGTAGACCCCATCAGAAAGCCTGAGGTCCCCACAGGAGACACGGAAGAGGAGAGACCTCCCAGGGACGTGCACTCAGAAAGGTAGGTGCCTAGGGACTGGTTGGGACCTGCAGGGATGGCTTCTGTTTTTTTTTTTTCTTTCCTTTTCTTTTTTTCTTTTTGACACAGAGTGTTGCTTTGTCTCTCAGGCTGGAGTGCAGTGGTATGATCCTGGCTCACTGAAACCTCTGCCTCCCGGGTTCAAACGATTTTCCTGCCTCAGCCCCCTGAGTAGCTGGGACTACAGGCTCCAGTCACCACGCCCGGCTGATTTTTGTATTTTTAGTAGAGACAGGGTTTCACCATGTTGGCCAGGCTGGCCTCGAACTCCTGACCTCAGGTGATCTGCCCGCCTTGGCCTCCCAAAGTGCTGGGATTACAGGCATGAGCCACCACGCCTGGGCTTCTTTTAAACCCAGTACACATCTGGGTTAAAAAGAAAAAAACCTACACATTGACCAGGTGCTAACTGTAGACCAGGCACTGTGATAAACCCTTTACTTGTAATTAGCAAAATAAAACTGGCAAGGCGAGACTGTTACCGTTTCCATAGGACAGATGAGGAAGCTGAGATTCACATGGTAATGTCATCTGCCTCAGTCAGGGTGCACATTTGCTAATGACAAAGCCAGCATGTGAACCGAGACCCCCCTGCCTCCAAAGCCCCAGTCAGCCTCTAGCACGGGCCCTCAGCTGCTGGATGGATCCTAAACCCAGTCACTAGATCCCTGCCCTGAACCCCCTCACCCAAATAGTCACCATTAGTTCTGCTGGACAATACCTCCACCTAGTCTAGAAAACCATTTGATTTGTTAGCTTAGTTTGGTTATAGGGTGAGTTGAGTTCATGCAAAAATACAAATTGTGATAATAGGACAATAGCTCCCATTTAGTAAGCATTTTTACTGGGTATCAGAACAAATATCTCCCTGAAAACTCAGTAGAAGATTCAGTCATTAAGGCTGGGTGCGGTGGCTCATGCCTGTAATCCCAGTATTTTGAGAGGCTAGGAGTTTGAGACCAGCCTGGCCAACATAGTAGAACCCCATCTCTACTAAAAATACAAAAACTAGCAGGGCGTGGTGGCATGTGCCTGTAATCCCAGTTACTTGGGAGGTGGAGGCATGAGAATTGCTTGAACTCGGGAGGTGGAGGTTGCAGTGAGCCGAGATCATGCCACTGTGCTCCAGACTCGGCGACAGAGCAAGACTCACTCTTGGAAAAAAAAAAAAAAAAAGATTCAATTATTAGCCCCATTTACAGATTGGGAAACTGAGACTCAACCAAGGTTACACAGAGCTGGGATTTGAGCAGAATCTGCTTGCCTCCAGAGGCTGCACACTTATGTACCACATTGGACTCACCACCTTCTCAACCCTAGGGCCATGTCTTTCACATCCAGGGAGACCCCTCAATCCCAGCCAAAGGCGTCCCCAACTTTTCAATCCTTAGAACCTTTGTATCAACCACACCAGTCACATGTGCCTGTCGAAATAAAGAAAAAAAGTCAGCTGGCCAGGCGCAGTGGCTCACGCCTGTAATCCCAACACTTTGGGTGGCCGAGATAGGCGGATCACGAGGTCAAGAGTTTGAGACCAGCCTGGCCAAAGAGACCAGCCCAACCAACATAGTGTAACCCTATCTCTACTAAAAATACAAAAATTAGCCGGGCGTGGTGGCGCACACCTGTAATCCCAGCTACTCGGGAAGCTGAGGCAGGAGAATTGCTTGAACCTGGGAGGCAGAGGTTGCAGTGAGCCAAGATCGCGCCATTGCACTCCAGCCTGGGTGACAGAGCGAGACTCCAACTCAAAAAATAAATAAATAAATCAAAAGCCAGCTGAGCAAAAGTAATTGTAGGGCCAGTTCTGGGACCTTTCTTTCTTTCTTTCTTTCTTTTTCTGGTAACTTTCTTGAGCAGCTTTTTCCTGAGACACCAAGCACAGCCTCTGTCTCTGAGCTGTAATTGCCTAGACCCCTGATCAGCGAAGAGGACCATGTAAAGGGGTAAAATGAATCCAGTCCAGATTCTGCCTCTTACTGGCTGCATGAGTGGACAAATCTGCTCCTCTCTTGGAGCCTCAGTTTCTCATCTGATAAATGAACATAACAATAGCGCCTCCCTGGTCGGGTTGTGGTGAGGATTCAAGAATAACATACCTGTAAAATCTCAACACAGTGGCTGGCATGCTGCACTCAGTCAATGGGAACGCTATATTTACGATTAATAGAACTCATGTTTTTCTACCATCCCTGGCTGCCTTCTGTCATCCCCTCCTACATTCGCCCTCATTCGGGAGTAGAGGACCAAGGATTGTATGTAGGGGAGAGGGCTTGATGATGGGTCCTGGGGCGTTCTAAGGCACCCCAAGGTATGAGACTGCACCAGAGGCCTGGCCCCTCCCACTCAGGGAAGCCGAGTTTCGCGGGAGCGGGGCGGGGCGGGGTGGGGCGAGGCGAGGCGGAGTTGAGGGCGTGTATAGGGGCGTGGCCTAACCCAGGCTGCGCGGAGAGCTGTTGGGGAAGCGAGCTTCGGTGCCTGGCGGGCGAGGCGGAGGGGTGTGCTAGGGGGCGCGGCCTTCCCAACACGGACTGATGGGGAGGGGGCGGAGCGAGACCGGAGGCGGAGCGAGACCGGAGGCGGAGGGCCATGTCCGAGGCGGGGAGCGTCCTTCCCTGCCTGTGGAGTAGGCGGTGGAGCCGGGACAGGCAAGGAGCGCAGGGGCGTGTCTGGGGGCGTGGTCTACAGGTCAGTCTCCGCCCCCGGAATCCGGCACTGAACTCCGCAGCCCCGTGGCCTGAGAAAGGCGGGAGCCGCTGAGCTTAGGAGGTCCCCGGGCTGCAGGCGGCGACAGCGGGGGAAGCATGACTGCTGTGGGCCGAAGGTGCCCCGCGCTGGGGTCCCGAGGGTGAGTGACCGAGCTGGGCCTGAGGAGGGCCAGCGGGGAGCAGGAGAGGTCGAAGGAGGAAATCTGCACCCCTGGGGCAACTGACAAATTTGGGGGTGGGGTTAGCATCAGGGACTTTTCTAAGCCAGCTTTCTTTGGGTGTAATTTTATCACCGCAGGTCAGGCATCTGCTTATCTACTCTACACAACAGCTCCAGGAGAGAGGTACTATTATCACCCCCATTTTATAGATGAGGAAAGAAAGACTTGCCTGCCGCGTTTGACACAGCCGGTGAGCGTCAGAATCAGGGTTTAATCCCAGCTTCCTGGCCCATGCTTTTAACACCTGGGCAACACATCCCTCTCCAGCAGGGCTAGGGCCGCTGAGAATGGCAAGTCCAGGACCCAGCCCAAGCCTTCTTGCTCTGTGGACAGAGCCCTGGTGGGCCTAGCAGTGCTTCTGGCATCATGCTTAGCCAGGAGCTGACCAAGGAAATGGAGAGACTCTTGCTCTCCAGCATCTGGAGTGTCCCGAGGAGGATGGGGTTAGCAGACCAGATTGAGCCCCCTTCTGGTGCCCCGGGACCCAGTGCTCCATCTGCACTGGTGGCTCACGGTTGAACATTTCTTCCAGAAGTCTCTGAACCTCAGCCCTGTGCCCTGGAGTTGGGGGAGCAGTCTGGTCCGTGAGATCTCAGATTAGCCCTGCCCCACTCTGGTCCTCAGTCTCCCCAGTGGTTCAGATGGGCCTGAGATGGTCTCGGAGGATCCATCCAGTTTGGGGAGGAGGACATTAGGGAATTGCTAGTGAGCAAGTTCGGGGGCCCTGTCCCTGAGTGTCTAGAGGAGGCTGTCCCAGGCCTAAGCTGGGGAGACTGTCCCTCCCCCACCCCTGGGGAGGCAGGGTGCACCTGGAGCAGGAGGAAGGAAGGGGAAAAGGTGAGGCTGCAGGGGTTTCCTGGTGTCCTGTTCCCTGCTGAGATCATAGGGATGAAGAGGAAGGAGGGAGGAGGGACCTTTAGCTCCCCCCTCAAAAAAAAAGAAAGCACCAGCCTAGCCTACCTCCCAAGGACCCTCAGTCTTCTGCAGGTCCCAGAGAGGCACCCTCGCTCCTCAATCCATCTTACAGAGGAGGAAGCACAAGCCTGGAGAGGGACAGGAAGCCCCAGCACTCCCTACCCCATGCCCACCCACACTGGAATTGTCAGGCCAGGGTCCTGCCAGGCATGATCACCAGCTGACAGCAAGCGAGCACCTGACAGGTGTTGTCTAGCTCATGGGGCCTGTGAGGTGGGAGCCTCTACTTGCTCCATTTTGCCAGTGAGGAGACTGAGGCTCAGAGAGGGGAAGGGACTCTCCTGGGGTCACAGAGAAATTGGGTGTCAGGCCTGACTCTTTGATCCCAGGCCTGACTAGCTCCTAAGCCCAAGCTCTTAACCACTAGGTCACATTTCCCCTCCTGCAAGTAAAGATCTCAAAGCTTTTTCTTTTCTTTTATTTATTTATTTATTTATTTATTTTTTTGAGATGGAGTTTCACTCTTGTTGTCCAGGCTGGAGTGCAATGGCGTGATCTCGGCTCTCTGCAACCTCCGCCTCCTGGGTTCAAGCATTTCTCCTGCCTCAGCCTCCCGAGTAGCTGGGATTACAGGCATGTGCCACCACGCCTGGCTAATTTTTTTTTTTTTTTTTTGTATTTTTAGTAGAGACGGAGTTTCTCCATGTTGGTCAGGCTGATCTCGAACTCCTGACCTCAGGTGATCTGCCCGCCTCTGCCTCCCAAAATGCTGGGATTACAGGCGTGAGCCACCGCGCCCAGCCAGCTTTTTCTACCATTCTTTCAAATGACTTCCCATGACCCCCTGGAAAGGAACCCATTTTGCAGATGAAAACATTGAGATTTTTGTGAGGCTAATAACTTGCTTGAGGTGATGCAGTCAGTTGAGTTGGAATGATATTCATTTTCATATTGACTGAGGTACAGCTATGCCTCAGACACTGTTCTAGGTTCTGGGAGATAGCGGTGAGCATGGCAGACAAAACCCTGCCCTCAGGGAGTCCCCATTCCAGGGCAGGGGAGACAGATGATAGACAAGATAAATGAGTTCTGTGGTCCACTAGAAGAGAAAAGACTTATCGAGAAAATTTAAAATCCG